AGAGAACAAATGATACCAAATGTTGGAGAGGATGTAGGGAAAGGGGAACACTCATCCACTGCTGGTGGGGCTGCAAACTTGTTCAAGCCCTATGGAAAGCAGTGTGGAGAACTCTTAAAAAAACTACAAATGAACTTACCATTTGACCCAGTTATACCACTCCTTGGCATACACCCAAAGAACTCATCCTATTGCAGAGACACTTGTACATCCATGTTTGTTGCTGCTCTTTTCACAATAGCTAAGAGATGGAAGCAACCTAAGTGTCCCTCAATTGAGGAGTAGATAATGAAAATGTGTTTCATTTATACGATGGAGTTTTACTCAGCAGTAAAGAAAGATGAAATCATGAAATTTGCAGGTAAATGGATGGAACTAGAAACTGTTATACTAAGTGAAGTAACACAGACTCAGAAAAAAAAATCGCTGTATGTTCTCCCTCATATTTGGATGCTAGAACCAAATCCTGATAAGTGAGTATGTATCCAGACATAACTACAGGAACTAGGATAATAGAAAGGAAACAGGAAGTACAGGAAAAGAAAGAACCTGAACGAGAAGAACAGTAGGAAACAGGCCTTAATAAGGGAGATATGGATAAAAATTGGGTTAGTTTAAGGGAGGAGGGGTATATTAGTCACTTTTCTGTTGCTGTGATGGAAATACTGACCCAAGCAATTTATAGAAGGAAGGGTTCATTTGAGCTTACGGTTCCAGGGGAATTACAGTCCATCACGGCAGGGAGGCATGGTGGCTGGAGGTAGATGGAACAGGAGCAGCAGAAGCTAAGCTCTCACATCATCACACAGGCACAGGAAGCAAGAGAGCAACTGGAGATCTGGCAAGTCTCAAGGACTCTCTAAGCCCACCCCCAGTGACGTGCTTCCTCCAGGATACACATACCTTCTAAAACCTCCCAAAACAGCTCTACCATGTGGGAACAAAATGTCCAAATACCTGGAGCCTATGGGGGACATTCTCATTCAAACCATCACAGGGAGGGAAGGTTATACAAGGAACCTAGGGGATAAAGGGAAAGAAGGAGCTCAAGAGAGGTAGGACCATAGGAGAAGGGCATTATTAAGGGAGAAAGGGGGAAAATGGGCACACCTTCAGGGGGAAAACCATGATGGAGGGGTTAGACAATGCAAGAGATAAATAATACCTAGCTAGTTTTAAAAACCAGAGGGAACCATATTAGTACAATAACCTAATGACAAATTATACATACCAGATCAAGAAATATATGTCTAGGCAAGGTTTATCTGAGAACAATTGGTCTTTGCCCAAGATTTATCTACATGGCACACAGTAATTAAAAGTACCAGACTAGTGGAGCTAACCTTCTTGGATGTTTAACACACACACACACTTTGAGGGCTATAATAATTGGGTCAGAGGGACATAAAGGACAATTTTTGCTCCTTTCCCTCCTAGGTCAATTAGTTCCAGGGCACTACGAGTATCTCCCAAAATGTCCTGCAATTGCAGTGGGTCACCTGTCCTCTTGATCAAGGAGGCTGAGGAGACCCCACCAGATGGACTTGAACCAGTGTCCAGTCTAAAAAGAGGAGGGTCAACACAGAGGAATAATTTCCTCCATGTTTCCAAGCGAAGCCAACCATGGTCGAGCAGGACCTTTGACTCATCTTCACATAGGCAGAACTGGTAAAAGAAAGGAGCCAGGGTCTCCTCCCAAGCCCATGTGACCCCTGAGGAACAGATCCTCAAATGACCTTAAGAGTAAAAATAAATTGGTTTATCTGGGCCAACTGTATGGCCTTAAACACCCAAAACGAATGTATAACCAAAGATTAAACAGTCCAATATAATTTATTAAGGAGTCCATATGCATAGCTAAAGGCTACATAACAAGTAACAATGCCAGATAGGAGATACCTTCTTTTGAGTTGTTGGCCAGGGTAGCCCAAGGGACTCCCAGATAGTAACCTGCATAGAACTGGGAAAATGAACAGCAGACCCCAATCTTATCTAAAGAAATATTGACAAAAGATTGCTGCTAGAAGAACAGCTGACCTTCTTAAAACAAAGACCTCTAGATAGGCTGACTAGATTCACCAGATGGATAACTAGTGGGGAATGGCTGGGGGTGCTGACCACACAGTGGACAGCAGCAGAGATATCAGAGTATAAGGGCTCTGGTTGGGGGGAGGGAGGCTATGGGAGGGTGCCATCTGGGAAGTGGGTATATAGTTGAATAAGATGGTTTGGGATGTTCTGTGTGATATACGCACATAGGAAAAAAAATCAACAAATTAAAAAAATACTATATTTGAGGAGGAAGCATAAAAGTTTATGTCACGTTAATCAGTAGAGGTGATGAACATTACCACTGAAATCTACCGATGACTTTATAGACATACACAGGCTTCAAGGATCCGAGTACAAACAATTTTGACTAGTAATAATCAGATACATACAGATTAGAGACACATGCACCAACATCTCAGTGTTAGTAGCAAAAACAATGAGTCTTTCTGTAAGAAACAGTATATTTTAGAATGAAATGAAGATCGTTTCTGAGGATTAAAAACTCATTCAATTTTATGTCTTACAGGGCTTATACTGAGTTTAATATTGCATAACTGTATTGATTCAACAGCAAACCTAGAAATTTTATAGCCCCTTTTGAAGGAGCTACATCTTTGTTCTGGAAACTGTTATTGGGGATGTTAAAGCTGTAATGATATGCTTCTTCTAAAAAAGATAAAAAATAATATTAAAAATGTAGGAAACAGCATATATTGAAATAGAGATCTTCTTTAAAGGGTAAAAACTCATTCAATTTTATATCTTACAGGGTTTATACTGAGTTCAATATAGTATAACTGTATTAATTCAACTGTGAACCTAAAAATTACAGCCACTTTTGAGAGCAATGTATCCTTGCTCTGAAGTGTGTTACTGAATATGTTAAAGCTGTAATGAAATGCTTCCTCTAATCACGTGGTTATTAAGTTTAAAAAATTAAAAAAATTCTTCAAAGCATTAAAGCATAAACATTTTCTCCTTAGTAGTTAGTAGATGTGAACTAAGGAGCTCAGAAAGTAACCGACTATGACTAGTAACAATCAGATATATAGAAATTAGAAACACATGTACACATCTTAGCGTCAACTGCATTAGAAACTGTGTATTTTAATAATGAAAGGGAGATCTTTTTTAAAGGTTAAAACCTCATTTAATTTTATGTCTTAAAGGGTTTATACTGAGTACAATATTGTATAACTGTATTAATTCAACTGTAAACCTAAAAATTTATAGCCAACCTTGAAACAGATGCATCTTAGCTCTGGAAATTGTTATTGAATATGTCAATGCTGTTGTCATGAAATGCTTTTTCTAATTATGTGGTTATTAAATAAATAATTTTAAAAAATTTAGAATGTCTTTCCCTTTTGAATCTTGCTGGTTCTGTGAGTATAAATCCTGGCTATCTTTCCTTTCTTCCATCTGTCTTTATTAAGTGCTTTAAAAATGAATCTATAATTTGTATATATTCTAATACTATATTTGCCACTTGAAGTCCTTGGCTTTGATGAATTTATTTGAAAGAACTCTTAAAATTTGCATAAGTATGAAATGGTTAGCCAATGAAGGTATGCTCTCAAGTACATGAATTTGAGCAAATTAAAGGAGATAATTGTCTATTTGCCTACTACTAATCTTGCCTTTTTAGATAGGTTCAGGGAAGTACCAGGGGGCCATTTAACCAAAGTGAGCATTTGGCATTAGAAAGGATATGGAAAAAGATTAAAATGGACTTGATATATGTAAAGCATGATACATTGCATAATCAGTCACTACAGACTCAAATCAGAGCTCTCCAGAGGAGGTCCTACAGCTAGGGAGAATTGGGCATGGGGCTGACCAATTTGGCCTGACCTCATATCTAATACTTTCTTACAGAAAATGAAAAGGAAATGCTTGTTTCTAGAAGAGACAAAAGTTTTCAATTTTTTGTCATCAAATAGTTTTAAACTAAAATGTGTTTTAAAATACTGCCCATTAGAACCATAAATACCATGCTGAAGGGAAAGCCCAGGATAGCTAACAAAACAAAGCAGAAAACAATTGTTCTGGTTTGCAGCAACACAGAATAGCTTTCATAAGGGCCCTGCTTTGCCTCTAGAAACAAGAAAACCCATTTTCTATCTTGCAAAATCTCACATAAATTCAGAACACAATGGAGTCTCCTTCCCTTTGGAACTGGTAACCATTGTTGCGCCGACTTATGGAACCTCAGGCAAGGAAAGACCCAACTGCCTTACGAAAGCGTTAAGAGAATGTCTAGTGGATGGATAGGCATTCAACCAGCAAGATAAAGCACCAAGAAACAGCAAATGTCTCTCTGCCTCTTCAAAAGAATATTCCTGCCCCCTAAACGCTTACACCAGCAAATATCACCAGGAAGGCTCGTTAACATGCTGTCATTTGACAAAAATATGCTAAACAGGGCGGCAATTGGGCTTCCGTGAAATGGAACCATCCCTGGTGAATTCTGAAAGCTGCCACTTCCGACCAGGAAGGCACTTCTACGTCACTCCATTTCAACTTCGATGAACCCCGAGTTGCGCTGACAATTGCTTTTCTGTGCTTTGCTGACTTTCTATCATCTTCATCTTCGCAACATTCCGCTCACTGAATGACGGTTGTTTTTCTTCTTTCCGCTTTTGGCTTTATCGTTCCCGCCCTGCACCCACCTCAAGCCTTGACAGAAACTATCACAATGCTGCATTATTTCTAGGGCCCACCTTATATGACGTTTATAAATGAATTTTGATACCTCTCTCACAAAAGCCCAGTTGGCTTTTCTTCCCAGGAAAATTGCTGATAAAATGATCAGAGAAAGGCTCATTAATCACAGTTGTAGAGTATGTGCTGCTCTAGACAGGGAGCCCTCTCCTGCTGTGTTTGTTACACCAAGAACAAAGTATAGGCCAACTTCAGAGAGAAGAGGGAAATACAGAGACACTTACCTGCATCACAATAAGGAGGTCAAAGACCAGGATGAAAGATGCGAGGAATGCTCTGGAAACCTCATCACTGGGCAAAAATCCACGATTCAGCTTGTCCCAGCTGATCCAGTCAGTTGTAATAACAAGTACCACCACGGAAGTCAGGGTGAAAAGGACAGTCCTGTAAGGAACAAGGTGCTTAATCACATCACACACAAAGACACAGATGCTCATGAGTGCCTGCTGTCTCTGCTGAACTAATGTTATGAACAGCCACCTCAAAACATATTCTCCAAAGGATAAAAAAAAAAAGACATAAATTGCTTTCTTTCAAAAGTAATTAGTAAAGTTATGACAGAAGTTCTTCCAAGCTGTTCCCTAAAGAAATTTAAGATAATGATTATGAACCAAATATTAACAAAAGTATCACAAATGACTGCAGTTAGTGGGGCAAGTATCCAGATGAGGACACTGGTGTGAGGCTTTCACCAAAGTCAGGCTGCTTAGCCAGGGACAGGGAACCTGTGCCTGCAAATGCAGGTAGTTCGGGAAAGGGAAGCAGTCCCGGGTTCCAGGGGCCTCTTACAGAACAGGAAAGTTGGAGGAGTTTCATAGCCATCCTCGGCCACAGAGCTCATAAAAGGACCTGCTTCTGAGTGACAACAGCTAGGCCCTTGACCTCTGGGACGCAAACTGCCTAAGGACCATTTTCCAGGCTGCCACATTCCTTGTTACACAATAGTAGGAGCCCAAGATTTGTTCGTTTCTCATAAATCTTTGTAGTTCCCTTAAACATCTTACTACTTTTAACTAGATGGAACTCTTGAAATTGAAATTCCTATGGAATAAAAAAGTCAAATTGGTCTTTAACATTAACAGTCAAAGTAGATTTGGAATGTGGGTGGTGGACTTTAATCTAGCGGAAAATTGTCCAGAATGGTTAGGGTTTTGCTATGTTGGTATCTGGATATTGTTTGGAAATATATAAAGGACAGAAGAATTACTGGAATAAATTTAATCAGAAAGCAGTAAGTGAAAGAAAGATAAAGAAAACAGAAGAAACATGGCATAAACCACAGGAGAACACAAATGCATTTTGTCATTTTGCTGCCTAATGACTTTTAATAATTGACATCTCACAAAGAATAGCATGAATCTTCACAGAATTCTCCTTTTTCAGGTGTGTAATGTATAAATTTGTAAGCAAAAGTTATTTCCTTTCCAGGACTTCTAGTTGAAGCAAGTCATACTTTGATACAATGTAGATTGTGTGTCTAGAGGTTTTCTCCCATAAGATAGAAAAGAAAAATTATGCAGCAGGAGAGATGGATCAGCGGTTAAGAGCACTGACTGCTCTTGTAGAGGACCCGGGTTCAATTCCCAGCACCCACGTGGCAGCTAACAACTGTCCATAACTCCAGTTCCAGGGGATCCATTGCTTTCTTCTGATCTCCGAGGGAATTACATGACATGGGTGCACTTACACAAAGGCAGGCAGTACACTCATACACATAAAATAAAAATAATAAATATTTTTAAAAGAGAAAAGACATTTCAAAATAATTTGTATAATGACTTATTAAATAGAAATTTCAGGTTTTCTTCTGCTATAGTTTAGAATACTTTAGCTCATAGATGTTCAAGTGGGTTAAATAAATTCAAGAACAATCCTAAGTAATTATTGCAATAGAAATTCGACACAAATACCAATATCAATCAGACATAAAAGAGTGACATCTTAAAGAAGTTTTTCATTTGGATAGAATAATTTTGTTTGTGAGTCTGAGAAACTTTAAGCAGATTGGTATAAAATTATAAGTTTTAATGTTTTGACAGTTAAGGACTATAACAACCTCCATGAAAAATAAATATATGTAGTCTAGTCTACAAAGCTTTTCTGAATAATCATGGTGTGTTCTCATCACAAGGATGCCACAGATGCATGTACTCCCTCATCATACACTGGTTTGAGTACACAGTGGTATTTGAAGGTCCCAATTCCACAGGATCTCTCAGTCTTCTATCCTTCTCCACAGGACCCGTCATCTGCTTAGACCACCTGGTTAACCTGTGATGAAACCCCTGGTTAACTGCTGGTCTATGTCGCTGGTATCTATTCTATTGGCCAGAGACAGTGACCTATAGATGAGTATTGTTTAATCATCATTGCAGTTTTCAATATACAACATGCTTTTATGGAGATAGTTGATTGCATAAGGATTAATATTCTAATATAAGTTGATATAAATAAAAATACTCTAATATAAAATGATATTATAAAGTACGTGTTCATTTACAGGTACATTTTCTGTCAAATCTGGGGAGTTTTGAATAAACTCCAATAACAGTTAAATGCCTCGTCCAGCTGTTGCGTGATTTCCAAAGTGGTTGTTCTTTGGGTGATATCACAGCAATTGTCATTTCTGAATACAATACGTAACAGGAGAAAATTTGGGAAACTCACAAATAGGGAACCTAAACGCCACGCTCCAGGACAATGTGTCAAAGAGGAAATCAAAAATGGAATGAAAGAATATCTTAAGATAAATGAAAATAAAACAAAATATATGGAAGTGAAGGCTCTGAGAGATGAGCCCTTAAGCAGAGTTTCCTTTATTAAAACAAGAGAGACTTCAAGTAAACAACCTAGCTTCCTACCTCTAGGAGCCATAGAGAGAAAAATCTACTCTTAGGGATGGAGATTGGAGTAGAAGTAAATAAAAGAAGCACTATATAAACAAAGGAAATAATGCAAAGTATCAACTAAGTGAAGAACAGATAAGGTCAGCAAACCTTTAGCTACGAAAATGATTCAAAAAATAAAATTGTGAATGAAAAAGTAGACATCACAACTGACATGACAGAAATGCCAAAGATTGCCAGAGAATACCACACACAACGATGAGCCAAGGAAGTAGATGACCCTGAAGACATTTGAGCTCCCAGAGACACACAACCCAAGGAGAGTGAATCATAGAGAAACAGAAAACCCAAGTAGAGTAAGAACAGATAAATGGTTGAATCAGCCATAGAGACCTCCAAATATGGTAGTGGTCAGGATCCACTATAACACCAAGCCCATGAGGAATGATAGCCATTCTTTCTCAGTCTCTCCAAAAAATTCAGGACTAGGAAATACTTCCAACTTCACTTTGTAAGACTAGCATTGTAAAATGCATGCCCTTGATGTCAAGGGTAGACAAAAATGAATGTGAAAGAAAACATTTCTAATAAACATAAGTGCAAATACTCTGAGCAAAATACTAACAAATCAGCAGCACATATAAGTGAAATTTATCCATGGGATTCAAGAAGAGTTCAACATGGATAAATCAATAAAAATAATGCAATACATTGAAATAATGAAGGATTAAAGTCACAATCCCTTCAGGAGGTAAGCATGGGACAATCTTTTGACAAAATTCAATGCTCTTTCACATTATAAATTCTCCACTTTACAATCCTGTATTACTTAACTATGGGGACATTCTGTGAAATCCATCTTTGTATGAACATCATATAATGGCTTTACACTAACTTTACTGATCTAGCTTACTCCAGACCTAGGATATATGGTATATACCATTGTATATGAGGCAATGACAGTGTTATTGACAGAAATGTCATCATATAGTATGTGATTGTAGAAGGGATGTACCTCAATAGAACTGAGCAATGAATGACTAGCTCATAGCTTGCGTTATACTCTAGGGCAAAAAGACTGTAATTAATACTGTAATATTGAACTGGAGTTCTCTGAAAAAGTAGATATTGAGTGTACCAAGCATAGACGCACAGACACATATATATGGGTACTTAACTGTTCTTTTTATCTTTTCTTTTTTTTCTCTTTTTTGAGACAGGGTCTCCCTATAGCCCTAGCTGGCCTGGAACTCACTATGTAGATCAGGTTGGCCTTGAATGCACAGAGATCCGCCTGTCTCTGCCTCGCAAGTGCTGGAATTAAAGGTGTGTGCCATGCCTGGCACTACTTAACTATTCTTGATGTTAATTTTATCATGGTGATGATTTCACAATGTACATGTATAATAAATCATCACATTATATGTCTTTAATGTATACAACCTTTATTTTCAATAATACTTAAACTTGAAACAAAGCAGTTATTCTTATTCACGCTAAAATGATCTTACTAAGGAGCTGGAGAGAAGGGTTAGCTAGTAAAAGTACTTGCACATGGGCCTGGCAACCTGAGTTGATTCCCAGAACGCAGGTAAGGTGGAAGAGAAATTACACAACAAAGTTCTCCCCCGACCTCCACATGTGCATCATGGCATGTGCCCCCCATAATGACAATGAATAAATAATTTTTAAAAACTTAGCAGGAATGAAGCCCTTAAAATTAATCATTCAGCTTTGTTATAATTGAATAAGTGGACCGGCAATTAGAGTTTATCATGATGCTTTTTGTGTGACAGCTTCCTGAGCCCAATCATCAGCTCATGCTTAGTTTGTTTACTATATTTCATTTATCCAACATGTGATGCTCTTAAGAGATCTTTGTTTTTTGTTAGCTTTATTGTGAACTTCTGTTTTGACAAAGGGTACTGCCATAGAGATGAAGAACTAGTTATTGGTAATATTTTATTACTCCAGAGGGAAATTAAGGGAGGTCTTCTGCCTGATGTTTAATTTTTAATGGTACAAAAGGAATAAAAATGGCAATCATTAAATATTCATGAATACAGCTTAAAGAAAGAGCCCTAAATATAAGTCCCAAGGGAATGACAGAAAGAAAATACAAAACAAAACACATTCATTAGTCATACTATCTCCAAAGTCATGCTTAAAATGATCATATATATATATATACATATATATATACTTATATGTCACTAAGAATAAAGTCCTTAAAGTTAATATATATCTACATATGCAAATATACTGCAAGTAGCCTGAATTTTTCTGAGACCTGTCTTGTAAAACAGAATTCATCACACTGAAAATTCAGTCTAAACCACCATTTTTACAAAGAGACATGACTCAATAATGTTAATACAAAAAAATCACTCTTACGTGAAACTGCAATGACGGAAATGTAAATAATATCACATCTTCTGCATCTGTAGAGCATTTACAGAACGCCCGATGGGGTTTCATTGCATGTCACACAAAATAAACTGCCTAATCCAGAGCATGTCCTGTTATCACACCCACAAT